ATAGAATCCTGGCCAACAGAATCCAATAATACATTAAAAAAAAAAAATTCACCATGACCAAGTGGGATTCATAACACATATGCAAGGAGGTTCAACATAAGAAACACAATCAGTGTAATTCATCACAATCACAAAGAAAAGAACAAGAACCACATGATTCTATCAATTGTTGCAGAAAAAGCCTTTGTCAAAATCCAACACTATTTCCTGATTAAAACATTCAACAAAATAGGATTAGAAGGGAATGTCTTCAACATAGTAAAAAGTATAGATGCAAACCCAGAGCCAACATTGTTCTCAATGGATAGAGATTAAAGGCATTCCCTTTGAGAACAGAAATTTGGCAAAGATGCCCACTCTCAACGGCACATAACAACAACAACAACATTTCCAATACAATATTGAATAAGAGAGGTGAGAGTGGGCATCTTTGCCAAATTTCTGTTCTCAAAGGGAATGCCTTTAATCTCTATCCATTGAGATAGAGTGATAGCAATAAGAGAAGGAAATAAGAGGTGTCACCTCTCTTATTCAATATTGCATTGGTAGTATGAGTGATAGCAATAAGAGAATAAGAGGTATCCAAATTGGCAAAGAGGAGGTAAAATTATCTCTCTATACAGATGATATGATAGTATATTTAGAAAATCCTAAAGATTCAGGAAGAAAACTACTGGACATTGTTGACCAATTCAGTAAGGTAGTAGGATACAAGATCAACATACAAAAATCAATTGAATTTCTATACAATGACAAACAGAATCCAGAATGGGAGCTAAGAAAAAACAATACCCATCACAACAGCTAACCACAAGATTAAATACTTGGGAGGAAATCTAACCAGAAACACAAAAGATGTATTCAAAGAAAATTACAAAACACTACAAGAAACAAAAAAAGACCTGGAGAAATGGAAAAATATCCCTTGCTCATGGATGTTGTTGTTGTTATGTGCTGTCCAGTCATTTGCGACTCATAGCGACCCTATGTACAACAGCCTTAACTCTGCTCTGTCCTGTGCCAATCGCACTGTCTCTGACACTCCCATCCCGATTAACCCAGTCACTGAATCAATCCACCACA